TTTAATTTTTTAGCCATAAAAAAAAAGTTAACCACTTGTATCAACTCATGTTTACATATACCTTTTTGATGGGGTTATTTTATGATATTTGTTTGAGAGGATATTTTATAATAAGACTTATTTTTTATCAGAGGAGCATAATATAATTTTATTCATGAGTCTCTATTTATAGAGAAAATTTGTTATAAAAAATCAAATATATTTGATATTATCTTATTCTAAAATAAGGAAATAAATCTTAAAATAATCAGAACAGATTAAATCTAAATATTTGAAATATAAATAAAATATTCTTATAAAAAACTAACTTAATCTTCTAAAGATATTTAGGCATATTCCCAACATTATTTACTAAGTCAACACTAATGTATTATTTACTAAGTCAACACTAATGTGATTCAATCTAAAATAAATTTGAGCGGAACTAAATCTTATCTTTGTTCTCCAATTTATAAAATATTGCAAATTTTGTCCTCCTATAGAAAAATCGTCACAACTAAAATAATTTTGTAGTTGCTTTTTCATTAATTTTTCATATCAATTTTACATAGAGTAAATTTTATGATATTTTAAATTTTTGAAAGCAAAATTTCGGGAAAAAAAAATTGAAGGCAAAACCCACAGAATTACAACGTTTTGGAAAAAAACATAATTTAAATCAATTTATATTTATAAAAATATATTATACGGTTAATTTGCATTTATACAATAAAGTATTATATAATTTTAAATTTTATAAAATTTTATTAATTGTTATTTGTTAAAAATTATTAATTTAACAGATAAATCATTGAAATTTAATATAAATTATGAATTATTAAGTCAATTTAGATCCTTAAACCTAATATTTTTCTTTTTTCTTTTAATAAGAAAACACTTTAAAATTTGAAAATGTAGAAAACTATAAGCGTGTGTTTGGTTTCGGAAAATATTTTTATTTTCATTTTCAAAAAATAATTTTTATTTTCTAATTTTATAATTTAGAAAATATGTTTGGATTGACTATTTTTAATAAAAGTTCATAAAAAAATTTGGTATAAAATTTATAATCAAAATTACTCTCTATATATATGAGTTATAATAATATATATATATTTTTTAAATATTTCACCATTTCTACTCTAACATATATTTATTCTCATTTAAATACTTTAATCTCATAATAAGTGAATTTTGTTCTAAAAACATGCAAATATCCCTTATATTTTTTTTACCAAATAAACAATTTATTATCTAACAAGTAGTAATTATATATATCAAACTAGAATATATATTTTATTGTTATAATATATATATATATATATATATATATATAATTAAATGATACTCCTTATCTTAAAATATAGAAACCAAAACTTATTCACACTATCTTAAAATATAGCAACCAAAACTTAATCACACTAAATATTAATCATATTTAACAAATAATATTTAATTAAAATAATTAAATAATATAAATAACATATGTAATTAAAATTCTATATAATTATATCTAATAAATCTTGTAATATTAATATATAATACAAATGCAAGCATCAAACAAAATTTTTCTACACTTAAAAGAAAATATAAAGAAGAACAATTGAATTACATGTATAAAAAAAATTAAGTTTATGAATTATGTGACAATGCTACAAGTTTAGAAGAAATTCGTAAAAAAATTTAATAATTAGCATCACATGTCATCATATTTTCAAAAGTGTAGAAAATAGTGAAAATGAGATCTTTTTCATTTTCAATTTTGGGCATCTTTTGAAAATGATTTCAAAGAAAACACTTTTAAAGATTAAAAATAAACACATTTTCATACTTATTATTATTTTATTTATAAAAAAAAAAAAAAGTGAAACTAAATATAGGGTAAAAGTTAAAAGGGTAAGGGAGGCATAATAGGCTCGTTCTCAAACCATATGCACCATTCGATATTTGCTTGCATGTCACACACACAAACACAATGGCCCGCAAACTGTTAGGTATTCATCATACCAGTTAAAATATTGCGCTTATTTGTGGTGTGTGCTTATCACATGGAACATGGAACATGGAACATGCAGGGGGATTTCCTCCTATTATTCTTCCACCCAAAAAAATATAGACATTCCCTACCTAGTGCTACCAAATTTTTTCATTTTCCACACATTTATATTACCATTTTTTCGTTTTTTATTTATTTATAATAACTTAATATCTGTTTCTCTTTCAACCGTCCAAATATTTTTCATTTCTCTTTTTCTCATTGTTACCTTTTCATTTTCCTATTTTTGGAGGATTTTTTCGTGTCTCTTTTTTATGAAATAAAAAATTTACAAAAAAAAAATCAATTTTTATTTTATTTTTTGGGTCATTGTCACCCTAGCAATCGTTCAAAATTTTCTTTTGTTATTTTGTTTTAAATGCTTCAGGGCCTTATTGTAAATTTGTAATGCACCGTTACGTGCATTAAAGGAAGGTTTTCGAAGTATGACACAAGTTGCATTATTTATGTTTCATTCCGTGGTTTTTAATACTTATCAAATATCATAACTAGCAAGTGTATCTTTATAAATTTCTCTAAAATATAAGTTAAA